GTTGCAGGTGCACGAGGGAAGAAACCATGAAGTGCGTGAACTTGTAAAAAATGCTGGGCTGCAGGTGATATGGAATTTTTTTATGGCCATTCAGTATGTGATACTTGACACTGTGAAAAATGAACTTTAAATAATAAATTTCTGCTTTATAATAGAGCAATCGGAAACCATAATCATTCTTTTTATCATCATTGAATCATCTAGTGAAGGTTAAAGGTCACAAATGCAAGGTGAAGCTGATGTCTTAATAGTATTCGGAATTGATTGTTGTAGTTAGTAGTTACTATTCCAAATCCAACAAGCACTAGACAAATCATATGTTGATTTTTACAATCTGACGAAGTGTAATGTATTTTTCCCGTTCTGTTAGATGCTCGAAGCTGCGTTTCGTCAATAGATATTCAATATGTTGGCAATTAACAACAGTTTAGTGATATATATTCACAAGTATCAACGTAAAAAATTATTACCTTATTTTGTTCGCTTTGTGAATTGTCAATTGTGCTTTAACTTCATCCAGTGGAATGTGTCATGCCTTTCCATTTTCCTAATTACCTTTGTTTGTTTCAGATTCATGCACTGAAACGTGTTCGCATAGGTGGTTTCAGGCTTCCAACTGATCTCGCGTAAGTTTTTTTATATGCATTTGCGATATTTTTTATAATTTTATGTTTATGGATGCTTACGTCTCCATTATTTTCTTCCTGAAGAGCTTCATCTACTCTTATTAAGAAGTGAAAATAAGTTGCTCTGAAAAAACCATCACATGAGAGCACGACTCTTGCTTTTTTTTTTTTTTTCTTTACCTCTCCTTCTCGTCGAACAAACACATGGATGCACTTCTCCTAATCATGAATTTATTTTAAAAGTTATTTTACCTAAAGCAGATTTCATCATATTTTCCCTTTACATTACTTCCTTATCTTCATCAGGCTAGGGAAGCATATCGAACTAACTCCGACTCATCTGCGGGTACTGGGTTTGAAAAGTTGAGAAAGTTGATCCTAAATCCATGGCCATAAAATCACACGGCTCTTTGAAATGCTCGATTTGAAAGAAATAACCTGGCTTTAGTGAATTACTTATTTGTTGCAACCAAGGATAGAAATTGAACTCAAGAGACTCTGAGTTGCAAATGAACTCTGGAGAGAGAATGGAGTTTGGTTGCACTTTTTCAGAAGGCATAGCTTACTCAAGTACACAAATGCTGTATTGCAATTTGCAAGTATGTCTTATTTAGGGGAATCTGTGAACCTTTAATTGCAACCTTTTTGATCTGTATAGCTCGATGCAAGTTGGATTATAGATATCTAATTTATGTCAGATGTGATTATCTTCTAAATTTTGTGGGGAAGTTAAGGTGACTTGGACAAAAAATGATTAAGGGATGCTGCTAATTGAATTCTTTTTTTTTTTTTTTTNNTTTTTTTTTTTTTTTTAGTTTAGCCTCTCAAACAGAGTGGCTTTATGAGATTATTATTGCTACTGCATCTCAGTCGGCATATTCATCGATTAAGAATTTGCCCGTGCATGGGGCTCATATCTACCTAAGGTCTTAATTTACTGTGATATGTTCTCCTTAAAGTTTAATTTGCCTCCTTTTTTTTTCCTCTTAAAGAAAATCAATAGTGGTTCACCAATTACTCCCTCTGTACAACTCGAACTCGAGACATATTAGTCTCAAGTTAAGAGTTAGTCTAGTCTATCTTTTTTCTTTAGATCCCTTGTTGCACCCCGATAGTATTATCGATCATATCGATACAGAGGAAATGAATGCATTTCCATACTATTTAATTTGACGTATAAGTAAGTAATTAAGGGATTTTTTGGAATTTCAATAAGATTTTTTCCGCTTAATGGAGCCTGCTCGTGTACAAACACAATTCGGATCTGATCATAGAAAAGATTCTCTTCAAGCAAACCAGCCTATCTTCTGTCTAGTGATTACGCAGTGGTTGGAACAAGAGTTGTTGATCAAAGGTCTCGTAGCAGGCTCAAGTCAAGGTGAGTTCCTGTAGCTAAGGTCGTGTAGGCAGTTGTTTAACCCTTTCCGAGTAGGGCAGGGCTAGTCAAGGTAACGCGTGTAAGAGAGGTATGAGAATAGAAGACAAGCTCAGGTAAGGGATCAGATATGGGAAGACCCAATAAGGGTAGGAAAGAAGGCAAAGGGGTATACTCATGGAAAAGATAGAGAAAGAAGTGCAGAAGCTTCGCAACGTCGGCTTTATTAAGTAGGGAAGAAAAGCACCCGGACGACCTCTACAGATCTGCCCATTCCGCACCCCTGACATTAGAAGTATATTGATTTTTCCCCAAGAACCGAATACTTTTGTCTGTAAATACTGCATTTT